GCGGGAAGGTCCAGGTCACCGGTGGTAGGCAGCCGGGTCGCCCCCTGAGTCACCTCACTCTGGCGATGGATGAGCCATCCTCATCTTCTTCCTCATCCTCGACGAGAGCCCAAAACCTCCCCCCGACACCCCGGCTGGCGGGAAGGTCCAGGTCACCGGTGGTAGGCAGCCGGGTCGCCCCCTGAGTCACCTCACTCATGGCCTGTCATTTTATAGAACTTGTATATATGTATACATTATTGCTATACTTAAAGTTCAGATGACCAAACACTAACGTTGGAGATTAATCGTCTCTTGTCTACGTCATCGCTATCTTTCCCCCTCTTGCACACACATGCCTGTCACGTACACACACGTGCAATAAACACACACAACACAGACACACATACGTACATCAGGCGTACACGCAGTCGACGGGGTATAGCTAGCACACAGGGCAAACACGGACGGACACACTTCACACATGTGACGAAGCGGAAGGAGGCTGCAGCCTCCCGTGACCGAAGACACATGGAATCAACTGAGCGATCAGAAAATTTCAGGTGCCTGATGATTAGCAAAAGCGTACATACACATGTTACTCTAACCAAAATGGCAATACGGAAGATGAGTAGGCTTTGAAATGTTGAAATAACTTGGATTTTTTTCACCCACAGGGGAAGTCCATACTGAACTTGGATGTCTCATTCTACGACCTCTGCATTGAGTTAAATTGGGATTTTCAGTTTTCACCCAGAAGGGAAGAACCATTCTGAACCTGCATTTTTCCTTCTACGAGTTCTACGTAACGAAACAAGGCTAAGCTTTCCACTCGTCATGTCATACACGCAATAGCTTGGAACACCATTGCCGAGCTTCTCGCAATCATGGCACGTGCATGGGTTCAACCGCCTCCGTATCCGTGCCCAGTCAGTGCCCAAGATAAACACACGATTTCCTCGAAATGTCTGCCCGTAGTGTTCCGTCGACGAGCCCGCGAGTGCCCTTGAGCAAGTCCTGCTCAGGAAGAGGAGCTGGCCATCCAAGTCATTCACCTCCAACCACTGTCTCTTCTCCAAATCTGCCTCGAACACCTGCAGATTCATCTTTGAATGATGAACGTAGGCCGCGTGAGGGATGTTCCACCGCACCATTAGTAGCTTCCTATTATCGGATGAGACGACCATGTAGTGCTTCACAAGAAACGACGGCGACGATGGGTCGATCCCTGGCGGCAGCGGTGTGGGATCCTTGATGACTTGCTCGACGCAACATGGCTGTCCAATCTCATGCGTAAAGAGCTGCTCTGATGATTTGAGTGCGAAGATTTTTCCACGATACAAGGCGATGTCCCTGTACTTGTAACCATACTTGGACCCATACATATTTGTGGTAAGCAGAAGCACCCATGAGAGCTGACCGGTGCCCGGCCGGAAAAACACCAAGCAATAGGCGGAACCTGGCCTTCCGGCGTCACGGTTAAGGATCGCAACGAGGAGACTGGACGAGCACACGAGGACCTTACGCATGGTGAAGGCGACGCCCTCTGCGGGAATCAGTGGCCATGTTCTCTTGGAGCCACATGGGTCATGGTCGCCCCTATCGCTGCACTCGTCAGCACACTCATGGTGGTCACTTGGGATCTCGATGGTGGACGAAGAATCGCGAAGGAAGAGTCGGCGGCTGTGCTTGTAGAGAAGGTAGCTGCCGAAGGAGGTGACGTCGGCGCCATGGCTCGAGCGAAACACCTTGCCATCGGCGATGCTCTGGTAAGCGCCGCGGCCGAGGCTGATGCACGGCATCGCCGGCGGCAGCTCCTGACGCGCAGCGAGGCGCCAGTCACGGCAGACGGCTCCGAAACTGAGGCGGTCTCGATGGGACGGTAGACGGGATATGATGAGGGCGGCAAGGTCGGGGGGGAGGTCCGGCCATGGCGAGCGCGAAGTAGTAGTCTTGCCGAGGCAGATACCCATTGATCGATGCGATCAAAGGTGCTTGATTAGTTTTAGTTTGTCAACAGGACGATTTGGCAGACGTAAGTACGATATAGTAGGAGTATATGAGCTAGGCTAGGTTTCGGTTGATACTTTTTCAACCCCAAACAAGGTTCCCGTCCATGATTTATTAACCGAGCTGTACTGCGATGGAATACCGTGTCCGAACGTGACTTGATCACGGCAGTCCGAAAGCACGTACAGAAACAAACCAACAGGAGATGGACTTGGTAAGAAATTTAATTCGTTATCATAAGCACATGTAAAAATATAGGACTATTTTTTCCAGCAAAGTTTCAATAGACCGTAAACACGTGAAATACAAACACAAAGTGCGTATTTTTGGTAAAGACTTCTGGTTCACTACTCCCTCGTAATTAAATCAACAATTGGAACATACTCCCTTCGTTTTTATTTAGTCCACATATTAGCTTTGGTCAACGTCAAGATTTGTAAAGTTTGACAAAGTATATATGCAAAAATATTAACATGTACAATAACAAGTCAATAACATTAGATCCATTATTGAATGTACTTTTTTTTTAGCATCAGTACAGACACAAGCGAATGACGGTGCGGAGGGCCTCGTCGTCGTCGCTGGCCAGGGGAAGTGGCTGTGGCGCGGATCTACTCGATCCTCCCTCCGAGCCACGGCTAGTAGCCGCCTCCACGGCCCGCTTGTTTGCAAGGCGATAAAAACCGAGGAAAAACCGAAAAGCCAAAAAAAAAAATCATCTAAAAAC